GACGTACGTACACTCCGAGGGCCAAACATCGACTCGGACCACTATCTTGTTGTAGCCAAGATACGCACCCGCCTCTGTGCAGCAAAAAATGTGCGCCCAACAATGCAAGGAAAGCTTAACGTCGAAAAGCTGCAATCACAACAGACGGCCAATTTATTCGCCACTCGACTCACACACCTGCTCTCTGAGAGCACTCTTCAACAATCCGACATACGCTAGCAGTGGAACCACATTTCCCGCTCATTAAGTACCGCCGCCGAAGAAGTAGTTGGATTTCAGCGAGCCCGAAAGAACAACTGGTACGATGAGGAATGTCAAGGAGCCGCAGAGAAAAAAGATGCCGCCTACAGGGCCACGCTGCGATCGAGCGCAATGCGAGCCATGCGGGACCGTTATAGGAAACTGAAGAAGGAAGCGAGACGTATTTGCCGCAATAAGAAGAGAAAGGCCTAACTACGTGAGTGCAAAGAGCTTGAGATGCTGGCCGACAGGAAGAACGCCCGAAAATTATACCAGAGGGTTAGGCGACTTACGGAAGGTTTCAAGACCGGGGCGAACTCCTGTAAGAACAACAATGGCGACCTAGTGACCGATGTCCAGAATATATTTAAATTGTGGAGGGAACACTTTTACAACCTACTGAATGGCAGCAGCGCTGAAAGTAGTGATGAAGACGAACCCGAGTCCCCAGTCGATGATGATGGAGTAGCTGTCCCACCGCCTGACTATGACGAGGTACGAATAGCAATTACGCGGCTGAAAACAACAAAGCTGCTGGAGCTGACGGCCTTCCAGCCGAGCTATTTAAGTACGGCGGCGAGGAGTTGATAAGGTGCATGCATCAACTCTTGTGCAGAATATGGTCAGATGAACGCATGCCCGACGACTGGAATTTAAGTGTGCTCTGCCCAATCCACACGAAAGGCGACCCCGCCAACTACCGCGGGATCAGCCTTCTAAGCATAGGTTACAAGGTCTTATCGAGCGTATTGTGTGAAAGACTGAAGCCCACCGTCAATCAACTGATTGGGCCTTATGAGTGTGGCTTTAGACCTGGAAAATCCATCATAGACCAAGTATTCACAATACGCCAAATCTTGGAAAAGACCCGCGAGAAAAGGATCGACACTCACCACCTATTTGTCGACTTTAAAGCCGCTTTTGACAGCACTAAAAGGAGTTGCCTATACGCCGCTATGTCTGAACTTGGCATCCCTTCAAAACTCATACGGCTGTGTAAAATGACGTTGAGCAATACCACCAGCTCCGTCAGAATTGGGAAGGACCTCTCCGAGCCGTTTGATACCAAACAAGGTTTCAGACAAGGCGGCTCCCTTTCGTGTGATTTCTTTAATCTGATATTAGAGAAGATAATAAGAGCCGCAGAACTGAACCCCTCAGGAACAATACTTTACAAGAGCGTACTATTGCTGGCGTTTGCCGACGACATCGATATTATCGGTAAAAACAAGGGCTACGTCTGTTCTGCCTTCTCGGGATTGGATAGAGAAGCAAAGCGAATGGGTCTGGTGGTGAACGAGGACAAAACGAAGTATCTCCTGTCATCACACAAACAGTCAGAGCATACGCGTCTTGGCACCCACGTCACTATTGACAGTTACAAGTTTGAAAAAGTAGACGACTTCGTTTATTTGGGAACCAGCATTAACTCCAATAATAATGTCAGCCTTGAACTCCAACGGAGAATCACTCTTGCCAACAAGTGCTACTTTGGGTTGAGTAGGCAATTGAGAAGTAAAGTCCTCTCTCGTCGTACAAAGATCACACTCTATAAGACACTCATTATGCCTGTGCTGGTGTATGGCGCGGAGGCATGGACAACGAAAGCATCTGATGAGGCGGCTCTTGGAGTTTTCGAGAGAAAGATTCTGCGAAAGATTTACGGACCTTTACGCGTTTGTGATGGCGAATATCGCAGACGATTTAACGATGAGCTGTATGAGCTTTACAACGATATAGACATAGTGCAGCGAATTAAAATTCAGCGGCTCCGCTGGCTTGGCCATGTCGTTCGGATAGACAGAAACGCTCCTGCTCTGAAAATATTCAACGCGGGCCGCGATGCTGGTAACAGAGGAAGAGGAAGGCCTCCTCTGCGTTGGAAAGACCAGGTGGAGAAGGACTTGGCTTCACTTGGCATTTTCAATTGGCGTCAGTTAGCACAGAAGAGAAATGACTGGCGTGCTGTTTTGGACTCGGCCAAAATCGCTTAGGCGGTTACAGCGCCAATAAAGAAGAAGAAGAGCTTGATGTTGTCACACAATGGGGAGGGACCTACAGTTTTACGCCGACTCCGAACGGCGATTGTATTTTTATGAGAAGCTGTTTGTCATGGCAGAAATACACTCGGAGGTTTGCCACTGCCTGCCGAGGGGCGACGACTGTTAAGAAAAAAACATTTTTATTTTTTTT